GACTTTTTCATGCTGCATCTTGTGGTATATTTCTTTTTTAATAGAATGTATTTAGAGATTAAAATATGAAATGGAAAGTGCGGCCATTTATTATGGGACACCCATTATTTACTTTTTACAGTTATTTGTATATCTTAAGCTTTCGTCTTTTTTTAAATATATCTAAAACTGTTTTGGGCCTAGTCATATATGGCTTTGTAGAGAATTTCAAGCGCTATCTCTTGATAATAAAACGAGCTTTAATCACAGGAATAATAGAGGAGAAATCTTAAAAATAATGAGAGCCCCATTTTCCCTGGAGCATCCATTATTACCGTGGAAAAACAAATTTTTAAGGGCTTTAAGAAGTTCACCAAATTAAATTCTTGGTCAAGATGAGAGATAAATCAGATAAAAAATATGCAGTTTGATAGAGAAATGAATGCTCTATCCAGCCATATATAAATAAAAAACGTATTATGTTTTTCAGAAATACAGTAAACTGAATAAAACTATTAAAAATAACGTAATCAACCTGTATATTTCAATATATTGTCTTTATCGAAACAAAAATATATATTTCCTTTATTTCTCAATATATTATTTATAATAATAATAATCGTCGTTATAAATATGGTTTTATGTTTTTATCTATATCGTAAAAATTATAAATTAATATATTATTAATAATGTTTATAATAGTTGTTTATTTGATTAATTGTTTTAATAAAAAGTAAAAAAAAAACAAAAAAAACAAAAAAAAAAAACTTTCTAGATTATATATAGAAGTTGTGAATGAAATGTGTAGGCTTCTGTTAATTCAGTGATTAAATGTATATTCAAATGCATATATACATCAATCTGACTCGATATGCGTAACCTAGATGAAGCTCATTCATCCGGAGGATTGTCGATTGATATAGCAAAAAAAATCGAGCGAGAGAAAAGTAAAAATATATTTCGAGAATAGCTTTATACGCTTTCGACACTGTTATAGACCGATAAATTCTTTCAGTTTCGGTTTTTTTTTTTTTTTTTTTTCGTATAATATCCACCATCATCCCTACTTATTTAATACAACATTTTGCGACGGTCGATTAGTGACATATACATATACACAGAAGAGAAAAAGAAAAACGAAAAGGAGAACTAACATTATATAAAACTCACTTGTACGCATATGAACTTAATCCTTAGTCGTTGCCTACTGTACGTCTTTTTCCTTAGTTATATTCATCTCTATATTCTTTTTAAATCTAAATAGCATAAAACTATTCTTTTGTTTTTTTTTTCTTAAACAGTAAGTTGGCAGTTTTTACTTTGTTTATCTATGTCAAGACAAGTATTAGAATAGATTGAGTAAAATCTTAAGTAAATTATTAGAATTACTTTCAGTGAAACATTAATACATATGTTAAATTTATTCGTTGGTATATTATTTTATTCTCTCGTATATATATTTATATGGAAATATGTAAGATGTGATTGATATTTATATTTATAAATGATTATGGAAAATAAAGTAAAGTAAAGTAAAGAAAAGATTTGTTTGTTTTGTTTTTGAGCAAGATTATTCAATAATGATAAATCTTTTCTTTTATCTATATTTATAGAAAATAAATCAAGTTTTTATTATTAGAAGAAAATTTTCTTTCATTTGTTTATTTTTATTTATAATTTTTTCCAAAAGAAAATAGAAATAAGATAAATATTGTTGAATGAAAATGAAAATCAGAAATTTAATTAATAAAAATCTTTTGATAATTGATAAATAAGAATATTCGAATTCTTGTCGAACCATAATCAAACATTAGTATTAAAACTAAAATAATTTTTATTTTTATTTTTCCATAATTCGAACAAAATTTCTATTTCGATCGATTTACATTTTCCTTATTGGAATAATACCACTATATCTTCTTACCTATATATCTATGTACTTGCATTTTTCAACGAAATACATCAGCATTTATTCTCGCCATATGAAAATAAAAAATCTTTTCTTTCTTCTTTGTCTAAATCGCCTGGCAAATATTATTATCAGTTTTGTTTTTAAAACAACAAAGAAGAAAAAAAAAAACTAAAAAAACTAAAAATCTAAACCTTGTTTTGTCTCGTTTTCTTTTTGTTGCTCTCTTTTACATAGACATTGATATATAAATATCATTTATTTAATTTATTAAAAAACTAAAATAAAAAAAAAAAAAGTAATATTAACTTATTAAAAAGGTATTGAAAATATTTTCTTCTTATATATTTATCTCATTTGTTTATCATTCTATTAAAATAAAAAGCCAAGATCGTTTTTTCTTTTTTACAATGTCTAAAATCTCTGATTATTTAGAAAATAAAATATTGATTATTTTATTTTATTTTATTTTGTTTTGTTTTTGTTCCTCAATAAGAAATGATATAGACATGTCTATGAATATTTGTATATCTTTCTTCACATACAGGTAAAAGTCAAATAATATTAAATAGACATGTAAATGTGAGAAATTGATTTCTTTTACTGATCGTGCTCTCGATGAAATTTATGGCAAAAAAAATACGATTTTTTATATCACACCTTTTCTTTTTCCTTGTTGAAAATTCTTATTTTCTATATCATATGAAAAGAGAAGATCACTATTAGAAGATCACTGAGACATGTAAACCATACAATATGTATCTATACGCGTCTTTGGCCTTCGTCTTTTTGCCTTCGATTTTCTCTCTCTATCTCTCCCATTTTTTACGAAAAACTGCGTGCATACAAGCGCATCATATGTGCTATAGACGAGCGCATCCTTTCTTCTTCTTCCCTGTTCTCTGCCCTGACATGTTCTATAATCACACCAATATTACATGTAGATGTATGTGCGCGTCGAAAGAAGATGAATAAAGAGAGAGAGAGAGAGAAAACGAAAGAAGCAAAGAAATTGAGTATTGAATGTGTATAATGAAGAAGAAGAAGAAGAAGAAGAGAAAAATGTTGCGCTTACATCGTTTTCTTTCTTGTTATAGGAGTGTAGAAAAAACTAAGATGTAAAAAAGATTTTTTTGTTTGTTGTCTTTTTTTCTGTTACTTATCTGTACATGCCTATTATTATAATTGAAGCATAAATACATTTATCATAAATTTTGAAGAATTTTTTTCGTTAAAATTGTATTTGTGTATTGTTTAGAAATAAATATCTTTATATTATTGATACGTATACATATATAAATTGTTTTTTTTTAGTTTCAGATTAAAATGATTTTAATGTAATATAGTTATTTGAGTTTTGATGATTTTAATACATTGATGATTACTGATCAAGTAGGTAGAGAAGGTAGTGAAAAATCAACTAGAGATAATGATCACAAAAAAAAGGCTTTTTTTTTAATTTATGATATATTTCTTAATGTTGACTACAGTTACAACCACCTATCATTGATTGATCGATGATCAGTCGAAGAAAATTTCGTATTTGATGAATGATTTGTTTCTATTCTTTATCTTTTTCTTTTTTTTCTCTTCAAAGCTTTTTCCAAGCTCTTACCTATGCGACATACCTGTCATCAAGCAAGGCAACGATGTTGTTGTTGTTTGTTGTTGTCAGATAGACAAGGGACGACGAAAAGAAATCATATAAAATATCTATTGACGAATAGATCGGAAAAGAAATATTCATAGAATGATAATCAATCGAAATTGACGTGTGCATATATATATATATATATATTATATATATATGTATCATTTTATATCAAACATTATTAATACATTTACTTTATATAAACAATTTTTTTCCTTCGAACTTTTCTTCATTTTTATTTTTCTTAAGTACCGGTGATGACTGACGATGCTTCGACTGCTTATATCTGTATTTATTGTCCGTTCAATTCGGATAATCTTCAAGCACTTGAAAATCATTTGACAAGTATTAAATAAATATTACCTTGATTGGGCTCTTTACATTTATATATATATATATATATATGTATGTATATAAATTTAGGTGAACACGGGTATGGATGTCAAGATACAACACAAACACAACTACAACCACAATCATCATCATTGGATATAATTAACAAGGCTAATAAACGTGAAGCACCTGATGATGAACAGGTTTAATCTCTATGTTAGATATGATTAATAATATAATATATTTTTTCAAAAAAATCTTCTTTAGTCTCAATATTCATTTGATGGTACTAAAAAACCAATAGGTAAAATCAATAAAGTTTATTTTTTCTTTTAAAATATTTCTATTTATTTTCAATTAGAACAAATATCAATAACTAAACGAGTTAAACGAACATCATCACCAATATCTACTAGCTTATATATAAATAATAGTGATGAAAATTGTGAATTTGATGATAATGATAATGATAATGATGATGATGATGATGATGATGAACGAGATTCATCATTAAATTGTCGAGAAATAAATTTAAATGAAATTTTAATATGTCCAATATGTAATTCAAGTTATAATTGTCTTGATCATCTTTCACGACATGTTAAACGAAAACATAATATTGATTTATCAAATAATAATTATTCAGAAATATTTAATTTTATAACAAAATCAAATTTAGAAAAAACAAATTCTAATCAACAAATAGATAAAAATTATTCAAATAAACAACTAAGTTAATTTAAATTATATTTTATTCTTTATTTAAATAATATATTTTATTTTTTTGTTTAGATCAAACTTTACCATCAACATTATCATCATCATCATCATCATCAATATCTCAAACAACAACAACAACAACTGATTGTCCATATTGTGATTTTAAAACAACTGATATTGAACAATTTAAAGGACATATTATTGCTCATATAAGAGATAAAAATTATCGATGTTTATTATGTAATCGTTTATATAAATATCGAGGTAAATTACATATAATAATATTAAATTAATTATTTATTAATAAAAATAACATAAAACCTATTCTTATTTATATTATAACTACAATAATGATAATAAAATGTATTTGTAGAAGATGAATTTAATAAAAACAAAAACAAAAAAAAAAAAAAAAAAAAAGGTTATTAATTATGTGTTTAGGTGATTGTTCATTTCATATACGTCGTAAACATCATCGATATACTACTGTTAATTCTAATGATTATATTCAACGTTTTTTATTTGATACAAATGATGGTGATGAATTAATGTCAACAGAATCAACTGGAAATTGTTCATCATCTGGACATATATCATTAATTAATACAAATATAACACGTGAAACAGATGAACCTATACGTTATTTTGGTTGTCCATATTGTGATTATACATCAAATTATGGTGGAGATGTTCGGTAAAAAAAAAAAAAAAAAAAAAAAAAAAATTTATTTTTATTTATTAATAAATAAAAAAATTTCATTTTATTGTTTTTTTGTTTAAATCTGTTTAAAGAAAACATCAAGCACGTAAACATCCAAATGTTGAATCAAAAGTAGTAAAAATAATTCGACAAGAAAGTGAACAAAAAAATGTTTGTTCAAATAAATATATATCTGATGAAGATAATAATAAAATAAAATCAATTAAAAAATATGATAAAACATTTATTCAAAAAAATTCATCATCATTAAATGTTTTATCAAATTTTGCACCTGTTAGAGTATTTCAATGTAGTTCATGTCATCAACAAGGTACATATAAATGGGTTGTTGAAAGACATATACGTGCTAAACATCCCGAACAATCAAATGTTCATGTTATTGAATTACCAGCTGAATTATCTGTTAAATTACAAAAAATAACACCACCATTAAAACGTTTTCGTTGTTCATTATGTCCATTACAATCGAAACATACATGGGTTATTATTCGTGTATGTATCTGAAATTTATCTATAAANTAAAAAAGTAAAAAATTTTTTGTGATTTTATTTTGAAAAGTAAAGTTAATAAAGTTTTTAGAAAAAAAAAAAAAAAAAACCAAATGAAGAAAATGTTGATGAATTGTTATTGAATGAAATGTAAATATCTATATGAATGTAATTAGTATTGACGTGCAATAATTATATTATATTCATTACCGAAAATAAGTAAACAAAACAAACAAAACAAACATTGATCTAATAAGTATTTGTTCATTGTCTCGACTATGTTAAAACATTGAATAAAACAATGATCAATTCAATTATTGATTTGAACACTTTTTGCAAATCGTCGAACTTTGTTAAACATGTTTCTTGTTATTATTTTTAACTTACCTTATTTCATTTTTGCTCATATTGGTTTGTTCTATTTAATAAAATTCTTTTTTGTTTTTATTTTATTTTTTAAAATTAGGTTATTCAACTCAAAGTTATTGTTTAGATGAAATTCAAAGTGATAAACTAAATATTGTATGTCGTAATAATGAATTAATAAAATTAGGTCGTATAATATATGGTTATTCATGGTCAAATGATTGTTCTTATATAGATAAAGATTGTACAATGGATGTACCACGTGAAGATATTATTTGTTTAACAAGTTCAAATTGTACAGTTCGTGTTGTTCAACATCCATTAATTTTACAAGATTGTTGGAATTTAGCTGCATCTTATGTTCAAGCTGAATATGAATGTATTCAAGGTAAATATTAAAAATACTATTAATCATATATAATATATAATAAATAATCAATTGAAATATTTGTTTTTAGATTATTCTTTAAAAAATATTTGTCAAAGACAAGATATAAGTTTATCAAATGGTTTTATTTCAACACCAAATTATCCAAATGGATTTATATCAAATTTGAATTGTTTATGTACATTAGTTGGATCAGGAAATAATTCAATTGTTATTGAATTTATTTATTTTAATTTATCAATTTGTTCTGAATCTGGTCTTATTTTATGGATTGGACAAGATTTTCAAACAAAATGTCTTACACAAGATCCAATAACAATTATTAGTAATATTCAACAAAATATAACATTTAGATTTTATACATTAAAATCAATAAAAAAAGGAGGATTTTTAATAAAATATTCTTTATTACCTGAATCAAATAATGGAACTGTTAGATTACAATGTTATGTTGCATCATCAATTAATCGATCAACAATATCAAATAATTTTTTAACATATAAATATTCTCGAAAAAATTCAAATATCTATGATAATGAATATGAAAAAGAATTATCTATAACAAATTCAAATGATTTAATAAAAAAATTTCGACCTATTCAATCAATTATTCAACCTTATACTGTTAGTTAATATTTATTAAAAATTTTTTTATATTTATTTTTATTTTAGGATATTTTATCTATAAATAAACAACAATCATTACAAATGTTTAATCAATCGACATATAAACAATGTAAAAAATAATTATTTTTATTAAAAATATAATAAATTGTTGTTGTTATTATTGTATATAATAGATTTATTACCAAATTCTAGTCCACTTTATCGTTCAAATATGAATTTAATAATAATATTTATTGTTTCAATAGTTGTTTTTCTTATTGTGATTAATATTCTTGTTTGGTTTATGTGTTCTTTACGGTATGTATTAAATAAAATTTAAAAAATAAAAAAAACTAATAAAATCTAATTAGATTAAAAAGTTCTAAATCAAGATCATCTTTTGAAAATTTCTATTCTAATCAAATTAATTTAAATAATGAAGGAAAAAAATCAATACATAAACAATTTTCTCAACGATCAAATCGTTTAAAAAGTCTTCATTCATTATTATATGTTGATCATAAAGTTGTTGATATAAATCCAATAAAAACAAATATTAATCGTGATATTGATTCATCTTTATCTCAATCTAATATTAATTCAAATTCATCTTTAACAAATCTTAATCAAGATTTTATTATTAAATCAAAATCAAGTGAAACACTTCAACAACCAAGACAAATTAATTCATGGGATGATATTTAATAAACAGTTTTTTATTTTTTAAACTTAATATTTATTTAAGGGAAAATATTTTTTAAATTTTATTCAATTAATATATATTCATTTTTATTTCATCGGTATTATTCTTCTTCGTTTTTTTTGTTTTTATTTTATCATTTTAAACTATATTATGTTTTCTATATGTAATCAATTGACTTTATTCAAATATTTGAGTGAAATATTTCTTTTTTCATTTATTAATTAAATCATTTTCTCTTTATTTCTATTTATTAGATTTAAAATATAATTATTATATCATTCAAATATAATCAATTTATTTTATATTATTTCAATTTAATTAAATATATTTATAATATTAAATAAAATCAACATTTTTTAATGTTTTTTAATGATTTTTCATTTGATAATATGACATAAAACATATTATTCAATTAAATAAACGATCGACCGAAATTTTTCAACGTTAATTTTTATTTATTTTAGACTCTTTTTATAAATGTTACCGTTGAATGAGAATCTATGAAATTATGATAAGATTTTTGTGCTATTTTCGAATGTCAACTTAGAAATTTTCTTCAGACCAATTATATGTGATCAATAATTTCAAAGAAAAATTTCTTCGTACTATTTTCTATTTTCATTTTTATAAATCGAAAGTAAATGTTGACACATCTATTAATAAATTAACTTATAAAGTAGAATCTACCCTACAAATTGTACTCTTCGACTTTTTCTATAATTCATTTTTATTTTCGTGTCTCTTAAATATTCATTTTTTGAAAAAAAACTACTTTTTTTCTTTTTTTTTAATCAAAAGAAGTTTTTCTATAAAAATGATCTCTTAACAAAATCCTTACTGTTTCATTTAATTAAAAGATATAGGTTAGTTCAATATAATATATTATTAATAAATGATCGCTAGACAAAACAATTGAATAAAATATTTTTTGCTACTTTCAAAAACGAACTTATATTGATTAGAAAAATAATCTCATAATCAATAATTCAATTTAATTCTTTTTCAACTTGAAAAAAATTCCTTAAATAGTTTTGAACAAAAATAGATAGAATATTTCAAATATGATATGGAAAACAAACACAAACTAGCAATCATCATCAAGAGTTTTTCATTTCTCTCAAATACTTTCAAGCAGATACGACTAACTGCACCAAGTACCAACAGGGCCGACTTA